AACTGAGGAGTTGCCGGGACTTCATGCAGGTGCTCCGGGACGGGTTTGAGGACCCATTGAGTGCAAAGCGAGCCGAGGACAACATCCTGCAATTCAAGAAGCAGGATAAGTCTGTGTCTGAGTATGTCTTATAGTTCTGGAGGCTGGTGAAGAAACTCATGGACTGGCTGGAGTCCCTAAAGGTGAAGTACTTTAAGATGGGGCTCAATCCGGAGATCTTGGAATGGGCACTGGGCCGGGATGACCATGGTGAAGGATTGGATCTGGCTGGCCGGGACGGCGGAGTCGGCGTGGCAGCAGATTCAACAGAGTGCACGGAGGCGGGACCAGGCAAGAGACCGGCCGAGGGAGAGACCCCCAGAGGAGAGGCGGAGCAGCCGGCGACAGCCCGCCGGGGGGCGAGAGGCAACTAAAGCCCCGAACCTGTGCTTCAGGTGCGGAGGTCGAGGCCACCAGGTGGTGCAATGCCCGACGGAGCGGGAAGGAGCCCCACCCCATCCCGAGGTCAAGCCACAGCGCCCCTCCGGGAAGCGAGCAAATGACCAGCCGTGGAAGAGTGCAGTGGCAGCGGTAACCGAATGAGGCCAGCTGGGGTGGTCGACCCCTGAGACGGCGTCTTCCGGGGGGGAATCGGAGCCGGCGGGAAACGGGGCGCGCTCGCACTGAACGGCGTCCCAGTGCGAGCCGGGGAGCCGAGACGAGCGGACCCAATTGGTGACAAGGACTGCCCCCCCTTTCGGGTGAGGATATGCATCTGGGGGCTGAGGTCCAGAGGGGAGCCTCAGCTGCGGGTGCTGCTGGACTCAGGCTGCACCCACTGCCTGATGCACCCAGCGGTGGTTTCGGGGCTCGGCCTGCAGCTGCGATGCCTCCGAGAGCCCATTGCATTTAGCGAGCTAGATGGCTCGCTAGCGGGGGGGGGCGGCTCAGTATTACACTGAGCCAGTCCAAATGACGATCGGGAGGCACCGGGAAGAACTAAGGTTCGTAGTGGTCCCAATCGCCGACTATGCGGTGGTGCTCGGCTTGGCGTGGCTGCGACAACAGAACCCACGTGTCGACTGGACAGCGGAAGCGGTGTGGTTCGGGGACGAGGAGCCGGCGAAGCGCGAGGGCAGGCGGAGCCGGCAAACGGAGGCGATCGGGACCATGGCCGCAGACGAGCAGGCGGAGGATCCAAGGCATGGGGAGGCGAGGCAGGAGCAGACCGAGGCGGGAACCCAACCAGCAGCAGCAGTGGCAGAGGCTCCGGAGATCCAAGAGCCCGTGGCGATACCGGGGCGCAGGCAGGCGACGGCGGCCAGCGGGACAGCGACGGAGCATGGGCCTGGGCCAGGAGAGGCCACGCCAAATGGCAGCATCCCGAGGCAATACCAGAGCCTGGCAGCGGCATTTGAGGAGGAAGAGTCCGACCAACTCCCACCACACCGACCAAGCGACTGCGCCATTGAGCTAGAGCCGGGGGCAAAACTGCCCAAGCCGAAAATGTACTCCCTGTCAATGAAGGAGATGAGCACCCTTCAGGAGTTTATAGACAAAAACCTCGCGCGGGGATTCATCCGGCCCGCGAAATCACCACTAGTGGCCCTGGTACTGTTCCGGGAGAAGGACGGCTCGCTCCGGATGTGCGTGGACTACCGGGGGCTGAACGCAATCAGCACCGAGTACAACTACCCCTCCCCCTGATGTAGGACCTGCTATCGCACCTGTCTAAGGGGAGGGTGTTCACAAAACTGGACTTGCGCGAAGCATATTTCAGGGTTAGGATCCATGCAGGAGATGAATGGAAGACCGCGTTTAATACCCCACTCGGAAGCTATCAACTTTCCATGATGCCGTTTGGATTAAAAGGGGCACCAGGGGTGTTTATGCAGCTAATAAACAAGGCGTTGCACGACCTACTCTACCGGGGCGTCCTGGTCTACCTGGACGACATCCTCATCTACACCGAGACCCTGATGAAGCACGTGAAACTGGTACGCACAGTGCTCCAGAGACTGTTAAAGGCGCAGCTATACACGAAGCTCTCCAAATGCGAGTTTCACTGGGAGCAGCTGGACTACCTCGGCTACCATATATCCAGTCGGGGGATCGAGATGGACCCGGCGAAAGTGAGGGATGTCCTGGGCTGGGAAGCACCGCGGACCCGGAGGCAACTCCAAAGCTTCTTGGGATTCGCAAACTTTTACAGACAGTTCATCCCGAACTTCGCCCAAGTCGTTCTCCCCCTAACAGACTTGCTAAAAACCAAGGGCAGCGGGAAGCCTCCCAAACCCAGCATGGCGCTCACGTGGACTGCGGAATGCCAGAGGGCGTTTGAGGACTTAAAGCGGCAGTTCACGCCAGAGCCGATCCTGCACCACCCCGACCCGGATCGGCAATTCATCATCCAAGTAGTCACGTCGGACGTAGCAACGGGGGCGGTCCT